GCCAGAGAGTTTCACAAGCATAGTGTCTTGCTCAGAATACCAAAAAAAAAAAAAAAAGAAAAATAAGAGAGTGTCCACACCTTTTTTCTCCACGGTTCTCTTAGGTGACTGTGGCTGCTCTGATCCTTTCCCTGCTTGGTCTCCCCAAAATGGTGGCTCCTGGAGCAACTGAGTATCTTGAATTAGAAAGCAATGGATTTCTTGCTTCTGCTACCAATTCCCCTACCTGTAAGCCTTCCAACCTTCTAAATATTCCTTTATATGTGGTTCAGAGTTCTGGGATCATCCCCTGAGCCTGATTGGTCTAGTATTATGTGTTGTTGCTGACGGAGCTCCTCACTGTACGTCTACTTGAGCTGCCATATTGTTTGTTTTGTAGAGTTCATTCTTTATGTTGTACAGTTCTTTCGATTTTGACAAATGCACCATATTAGATCCACCATTATAATAAAACACAGAATCATTGACTTGCTCTTCAAATGCTCTATTCATCTCTGGCAACCACTAACCCAAAGACTGGTAAACAATAATCTTTCCTTGTCTCTGTAACAACAAGAAAAATGGAACCCATTGTTATGAGTCAACTCTGACTCACAGTGATTCCATAGGGAACTGGGGCACTTCCCCATAGGGCTTCCAAGGGTGTGATCTTTATGGAAACAGACTGCCACACTTTCCTGCTTCAGAACCACTGGTGGGTTCAAACTGCTGATCTTTTGGTAGCTGAGCACTTAACCCCAGTGCCATCAGTGCTTCTAACTGTGTCTGTCATTTTGTCTTTTCCAAAATGCCATAGCCTGGAAATTATACAGTATAGAGTGTTTTCATACTGGCTTATTTCACTCAGCAATATGCATATAAGTTTCTTTTCATGTCTTTCTGTTTTGTGTGTGTGTGTGTGTGTTTTATTGTTGAGGAAGATGCCCTGGTACAGATGTACCACAGCTTGTTTATCCCTTTATCTTTTGAAGGATAGTTTGGCTTCTTCCATTTTTAACAATTATTAATAAAGCTGCAATAAACAATGGTGTGTGGACTTTTATGTGGACAGATGTTTTCAACTCATACCTAGTAGTGTGGTTGCTGGATTATGTAGTATTTTAGCACTCTAAGAAACTGCAAGACTGTCTTCCGAAGTGGCTGCACCAGTTTGTATTTCCACCACAAATGGATGCGTGTTCCTGCTGCTTCAAATCCTTGTCAGCATTTGGGCTTATCCAAGTTGTTTTGAATTTTAGCCATTCAAATAGTGTATAGTGATATGCCTTTATTGTTTATTTAAAATTCCCTGAGGACATGTAGGGTCTCTAGGATTTGGAATCAACTCAGTGGTAAAAAGTTTGGCTTTTGGTTTAGGAATGACATATGAATAAAGAGCCCTGGTGGTGCTCAGGTTAAGCACTCAGCTGATAACTGAAAGGTCAATAGTTAGAACACACCAGTTGGAGTAAAAACCTGGGGATCTGCTCCCATAAAGATCACACCAAGATCCCATAGTTTTACTCTGACTTACAGGGCTGGACTGCACTCATCAGCACACACAATAGCAACGACCCATGATGTTAAGCTCATTTATATGGGTTTGTGTGCATCTGTGTATTTTCTTTAATGAGGTGTCAGTTCTGAGCTTTTTTCTCATTTTGTAATTGGGTTGTATTCTTATTGTTGCATTTTAACAGAGTTTCGGTGTGTTTGTGTGTGTATTTTGGGTACAAGTTCTTTATCAGCTATGTGATTTGCACATATTTTCTATCAGTTTGTGACTTCACATCTTTTCATTCTCTTAAGCTTTTTCTTATGTCAAAACAAAACAAACACATACTTTTTCCCCCTTTCTGTATCGTTAGCACTTCTGTCGCTCTCCCTCATGATGAAGTACAGTGTCCTTGGCCAGGCATCAAGGTCACTCAGGGCCTGGTTGCTCTGTCCCTCTGGTCTCATCCATCTTACTTTATGCTCTTGGCACAATGAGCTCATGGGTTTCATGAGCATGTCATGTATGTTATTTATACTATTGCATCTTTGCCTGGAGTACCTCATCCTGTATTAGATTGGACCTGGAGTGCCCCATCCTGCATTAAATTGGACCTGAGGTACTCCATCCTGTATTAGATTGGACGTGGAGTACCCCGTCCTGCATTAGATTGGACATGGAGTACCCCATCCTGCATTAGATTGGACATAGAGCACCCCATCCTGCATTAGATTGGACGTGGAATACCCCATCCTGCATTAGATTGAACTTATCTCTCATCTTCTGGGCCCCCTTTCTACCCTCCCTCAGCCTGCCAGGTGGGCACAATGCACGGTGTGTGTGTTCCTTTATTCCCTGCACGCATTCTGTTTCACAGGTCATCTCTGTTCATTGTTTAAATTTACCATTGGACTGTAGTTTATGTCTCCTTTATCTGCATAATCAGTCCTTCCCCTGGAAGATAATAAATACATATTATATGGTTGAGTAGCTGTAGGAATAAGCAAATAAAGACTACATGGATAATGAAACTACTGTTATTGTTAAGTACTATCATGTCACTGCAACTAAGACCTATCTTAAATTCTTCTTGAAATAAAATTGATTATGAATGAACAGGCAAATACTCTTCATTTCTTCGTTTTCTACAATGGTAACTTGGTGCCATTTTAATAGGAGATCTGTAGCTGGCATCTCCGGTGTTGCTGGAATCCTGTGGCGGATACCAATGTCCCCTGGTGCTTCTTCCCCAGGAACTGGGGCTATAAAGTCATTAGTGACACCCCAAACACAAGCACAGGTAAGCTCTGCCCGGGTGTTCCTTCAAAGAGCAGCTCGTTATGGCCGTGAAGTGGAAACCATCTTTTTCTCTCTCCTTAAGATTTTTCTGTCAATTTGGAAAGGCTGCCATCCCCAACTATGTTTGGATATGATGTCAACAACGTTATCTTCAGTGCTACATATCAGACATCTAATCGTCTACACTTTAAGGTTGGTTTCATAGCTACCACCACATTTGTGTGAAGAGAGCAGAGTCATTTTCCTTTATGAACTGGGTGGGGCTATGGTGGGGGCAGGATACAGTTCTCCTCAGGAATCTCCTACCTCCTTCCTTGATTGATTTTTATTTGATAGGAGACACATGATAGGCTGATTCCTGGATCCACTAGAACAAGAATTAGAAACTATTCTTAGGGGCTATTTGAGAGTGCACATGTTTTGGAGTTCTACAAGGAAGTGGTTTTATCTGTTAATTGGGTTTCTGTTGTTCTCCTGACAGATCACTGATCAAAATAGCAAACGATACGAAGTCTACCATGAAAATATTGATAATATTAATAAGCTGAGAGAGAAGGCTAACATCTCCAATTTCAACTATCAAGTAGAAGTCATTAATAGTCCCTTCAGCATCAAAATACTGAGGACAAGCAACAAAAAAGTCTTGTGAGCTTTTCTTTATCTATCTTTCAATATACACACCATAATTAATAAAAATCATTATCAAGTCAATTCCAAGTCATAGCAACACTATAGAACAGGGTTTAGAACTGCCTCCTAGGGTGTCCTAGGTGTAATCTTTATGGGAACAGATTGCTACATCTTTCTCCTGAAGAGCAGCTGGTGGGCTTGAGCCACAGACCTTTCAGCTGGCATCTGAATACTTAATCACTGCACTGCCAGGGTGCTGTATCTTTGAACAAACCCAGTCCCAATCTACTTAATCCTAAATTACTGTGAGCAGGCTAGACTTGTAAAATTACCTGAATCTCAGAAAAATGATAAAACTTTAACTGTAAATCATTGTCGCCATTAATCTGTGAGAACTACAGAGCAAAGAATACTAACATGTCATGTTCAAATTTGCTAGGCTGTGCAAATCTCCTTCTGTGGTTCATGTATCCCATCAAATAGGGATTTTACTATTGTGAATTAATGTTTATACTGGAACACAACTTCACCGTTTGTCATTCCAAATTATTATTCGCTGGCAAATGACTCACCAAATCCTTAACAATTAGAGTTTAAGTCACAAATTATACAAGAGAACATACAATATGACTATCAGTTAAATCTGTATTCAAACCCTGGCTCTAGCATGTCACCAGTCAGCTGGGAACTGGCATTGGGCAACATACCAGGCCTTGCCCTAGAAAGGGGATGAAAATACATAATTCAGAAGTGGTCATTAGGTATTGCTGGTTGCTGTTGAATAAATGTGTGCAAAGTAGAAGTGTTCCATAGGGTGTTCAAGACTGTGAACATTTGGAAGCAGATCATTAGGCCTGTGTTCTGACGTGCCACGTACTGAAGTATTATCTAGAAGGCTTACAGAGGAGTGTCTGCAAAGCAGCAGATTCATAAGAAATGCTAGATTATGTCTGTGCTCTTTCCTTGAACCATCCAACTGGTACCCAATCCCAGAAGTGCACTCCTTTAGAACTCAAGAACTCGAGCTGCCTTTGAAGCATCACGGGTGGCATGAGAGTTGAAGGATGCACCTGGAGCAAGAGTCCACTAAGTGTGGGTGGGAAGGAACAGAGAAAGTTGTTAGGTAACTCCTCTTCCCCATGGTGCAGGTTGGACACGAGCATAGGTCCCCTCCAGTATGCCCATCAGTACCTGCAGCTGTCTTTCCGCCTGCCCAGCACTAACGTGTATGGGCTCGGGGAACACAACCACCGGCAGTACCGTCATGACATGAACTGGAAGACCTGGCCCATCTTCACTCGGGACTCACCCCCCACCCAGGTGAGCCTTCCTCTGTCCTGCTTACCCCTCACCTTCCTTTCTGGAAAGTCGACACCAAAAAAGGACTTCTATAAGACTGGGTCCATATTTATACCAATTTGTAACAAGAAATATTTCTTGAGATTTGTAAAGATACAGATAGAAATATAGTCATTTTTAAGAAAATGCAGCTTTTAAATGGATCTGTGTAGGCTAAAGTCCTCATGTGGCGCTGTAGGACAAGCACTGGACTGCAAGATTGGTTTGAACCATTAGGTCTGCTGACCAAATTCACCAGCCACGCCTTGGAAACCCAATGCAGGGTTGCTATGAGTTGGAACCAACTTGGTGGCATTTAAGAACAACAGTGCTGTTTATATGTGCTTTTCAGTTTGTTCTGGCTCATAGTGATCCTGCGTACAGCAGAATGAAGCACTGTCTGGTCCTGCACCATCCTCATCATTGTTGCTATGCTTGAACCTGTAGTTGCTGCCACTGCGTCAATCCATCTCACTGTGGACAAGGGAAATAGAATCTTGTGATTTATTCATAGGCGCTCTGGTAGTGTGGTGGTTACGAATCGGGCTGCAAACCTTAAGGTCAGTAGATCAAAACTACCAGCTGTTCCACGGGAGAAAGATGAGGCTTTCTGCTTCTGTGAAGATTTATAGCCTCGGAAACCCTGTACAGGGTCGCTGTGAGTCAGAACTGACTCCATGGCACATAACCACCACCAATCATCAGGATGCAGAGTCCTGGTGTGGCACTGTAGGATAAGCACTGGTCAACAAATCTACCAGATACTCCTCAGAAACCCTACAGAGGATGACTTGATGGCCTGCAGCAACACCTATATGCATTAGAAGTTGCTTCTGACTAAGAACAGTGTCTGGTTTTAATAAGTGAGTAAATGTGAAAGCTGGACAGTGAATAAGGAAGACGGTAGAAGAATTGATGCTTTTGAATTATGATGTTGGAGAAGAATATTGAAAGTGCCATGGGCTGCCAAAAGGACCAACAGATCCGTGTTGGAAGAAGTGCAGCAGAATGCTCCTTGGAGTCCAGGATGGCCAAATTTCGTCTCTCATACCTCAGACATATTGATTGTCAGGAGGGACCAGTCACTGGAGAAGGATATCATGTTTGGGAAGGTGAGGGTCAGAGAAAAAGAGGAAGACCCCCA